GGCTGCACTCACCATCTGTTACCTCTGGAACAGAACTGAATCGTCCACCCTGCCTCGAGGGGTCACACCTTACGAGATCATCAATGGACGCAAGCCCAACCTAGAGCACCTTCACATCTGGGGATCTCGCTGCTTTGCACGAATCCCTTCAGAGTTACAACCAAAACTTGGTCCTCACTCCTGCCCAGCATACTTCATGGGTTACCCAGAGGGTACCAAAGGTTATCACCTGCGTGATCATGACATGGGAGCCTTCTTTACCGCTCGGGATGTTCATTTCGATGAGAACCTTCCTTCCACCTCTCATTCAATGAGTTCAGACTCAGACAGTGGTGATGATAGGCCTACTTCCATGACACATTCCTCCTTCCCAGCTCAGCCCACTCAACCGGTGACTCAGCTCATGCCATTGCCCTCATCTGCCCCTATGGTCCCTCCTGAACCACATCGCTTGTCTCGCATCCAGGTCCCTACAAAGGCTGGACAGACCTATGCTGAGGAGTTAGCCACCTCCAAAGCATGCCTAACCTCTCTGTGTGAAGTACGTGCTGACTGTGCATGTGAGAACACCCTATGCGAGGGGGTGCCTACTGCCTTGCTTGAGGGGGTGGATGCCTCTGAAACCACTGAGCAGGAGTCCATCAAAAACATCGAACCTACAGTGGCTCAAAAAACTGTCCGCATGTTTTGACATTTTTCACTATCTATGATATTGTGTGAGAACTCACAAATGCCTCAAGGACATGGTTATACCACATTGTAGTATGGCTTCAGGGCTTTCATTTGAGCCCTACACCGTGGGAATCGGTGGAGATATGGTGGAGATACAAGGCTTACAAAATCATGACTCATGTGGACAGTTTTTTAAGCACATCTTAAAACTATATAAATCATCATTTATGACACCATAACAATCATGCCACCATTAAATAAATAATAAAGTGGTGTCATTATGTCATTTTAAAACCATATCTAACTATACAAACCAAAAATTTCCATATGTCATGGCTATATTCACCATGAAAGCCACCCCCCCTGCTCAAAGGGATAATATCCTCTCTCTTTCCTATTCTGGCCTCTCTGCTTGTCAAATTTCCTCTAGAACTGGAGTATCCAAGTCCACTGTGGCCAAGTTCATCAAAGAAAGTCACACAGACAAGGAAAACTTCTGTGAAGGGCATCCATCCAAGCTCACCTCTACTGATAGGAGGGCTATTATTCAGCATATCACTACAGGAAAGGCTGATAATGCTGTCCAGGTCACCTATTACATCAATTCCACCATCACATTCCCTGTCTCTTCACACACTGTGAGAAACATTCTCAAGACAGCTCATCTCAGGTCAGTAACAAGGAAGAAAAGGCTCTCCTCTCTATCACACATATGCAGGAGGACTAGCACCCTTCTTTTTTCACATATATACCTTGCCATCTGACCCAATCCTATTTATTGTGGTCTTATATGATCATATAACATGCTTCCAGTCCATGTAATCCAATTCTGATGGGCTAAGGCAAAGGTTAGTCATCTCTGTTTATGTGTGATGGAGAGGAAAGCCTATTCTTCCTTGTTACTGACCTGAGATGAGCTGTCTTGAGAATGTTTCTCACAGTGTGTGAAGAGACAGGGAATGTGATGGTGGAATTGATGTAATAGGTGACCTGGACAGCATTATCAGCCTTTCCTGTAGTGATATGCTGAATAATAGCCCTCCTATCAGTAGAGGTGAGCTTGGATGGATGCCCTTCACAGAAGTTTTCCTTGTCTGTGTGACTTTCTTTGATGAACTTGGCCACAGTGGACTTGGATACTCCAGTTCTAGAGGAAATTTGACAAGCAGAGAGGCCAGAATAGGAAAGAGAGAGGATATTATCCCTTTGAGCAGGGGGGGTGGCTTTCATGGTGAATATAGCCATGACATATGGAAATTTTTGGTTTGTATAGTTAGATATGGTTTTAAAATGACATAATGACACCACTTTATTATTTATTTAATGGTGGCATGATTGTTATGGTGTCATAAATGATGATTTATATAGTTTTAAGATGTGCTTAAAAAACTGTCCACATGAGTCATGATTTTGTAAGCCTTGTATCTCCACCATATCTCCACCGATTCCCACGGTGTAGGGCTCAAATGAAAGCCCTGAAGCCATACTACAATGTGGTATAACCATGTCCTTGAGGCATTTGTGAGTTCTCACACAATATCATAGATAGTGAAAAATGTCAAAACATGCGGACAGTTTTTTGAGCCACTGTAACACTGACATCCCTGAGCTCATGGTGAATGTTGTCATAGAAGAACAGGGTCATGTAGCAATTCGCAGCAACAGGAAACGCAATCCACATGACTCAGACTACGACCTCTCCATTCCCCCAGCAACTTACAACAAGGCTATGAAGCATCCTGATGGGAATCTGTGGCTTACCGTGATGAAGGCCGAGTTGCAGACCATGAAGGATATGGGGGTGTATAGACTTATGAAGCTCCCCCCAGGGCGCAAGGCCATAGGGTGTCACTGGGTGCTAGAATTCAAAGAGGACAATAAGGGAGGTCCAATCCAGAAGGCACAACTGGTCGCGCAAGGCTTCTCACAGGTTTCTGGAGTTGATTATAATGCAACCTTCGCCCCCATCGTCAAAATGGCCTCCATTCAGTTCATTGCAGCCTTGGCCTGTCGCAACAACTGGGAGTTGGACACATTTGATGCCTGAAGGGCATTTCTCTGGGGGATTCTCAAGGAGGAGATCTATATGAGACAGCCAAAGGGCTTTGAGGATGGAGATTGGTCGCTCCTGGTATGGTTGATGCTGCACACAATATATGGCCTGAAGCAGTCGGCCATGGAGTGGTATGAGCAAGTCCATGCCATGATGAAAGAACTCAGCTTTATGAGGTGTGCTGTTGACCATGCTGTCTTCATCTACGACAGGCCCAGCACAGGGAGAGGATCTACTGCCTCGTTGGATGGCATGTTGACAATGGAATGGGCACCTCTAATTCCAAACCCTTCCTAGCCTATGTTAAAGGTCGCATTGCCCAATGCTTCAGCATTAAGGATCTTGGGCCCATCCAATGCTTTCTTGGCATTCAGTTTGAGCGTGACTGCACATCCCATCAGCTTTGGATGCATCAAGGCAAATACATCCCATACCTCCTTGATGAATATGACCTCTTAGATTGCAACCCCATTCTCCTGCCTCTCAATGCAAACCATCCATTCAGTCATGACTCCAACATCTACAACAACATCCCAAACCTCCCTATGCACTATCACAAGATTGTCGGTGAACTTCTGTATCTCGCAGTCTGCACCAGAGCAGACATTGTCTTTGCAGTAAACACGTTGGCACAACACAATGCAGCACCCTTGCCATGCTACTATGCTGCTGCAAAGCACCTCTTGCATTATCTCAGTGGGACCTTGAATTTACATGCTCATTTCGGAGGAGATTGTGTCGAAGAAGGATTGCATGTGTACTGTGACACAGACTGGGCTAGTTGTTCAGAGGACAGGCTCTCAATTTCAGGCCAAGTATATGGTCATCACTCACATTATGCAGGAGGGCCTGTGGCTCAAATCATTCATCTCAGAACTTCACATCCCTTTGTCATTCCCCATCATCGTCTACATGGACAACACTGGTGCAATCTCTCTCTCCAAAGAAGCCAAGAACCACATCCGCTCCAAGCATATCAACATCCATTATCACTTCATTTGAGAGTGGATCGAGAAAGGTGTCTTTCTGCCACAATGGCTTCCATTGCACAAGAATGTGGCAGACGTACTGACAAAGGCTTTGCTGCACCCGCTTTTTGTCAAACATGTCGCAAACCTGCACTTGTTGTCTCGCTGAGGGGGTGTGTTGACTTTCACTATCTTTTGCCTTTTAGACTTCGTATTACCTTCTTGGCACTATCTGGTACTATCAGCTTCAACACCATATGCAACACATCTTCCTGCTTCTTGACCACATGAACTCCTCTGCTCGTCCATTCACCAGTACAATTACCTAAGCTCTTGGTCTCTCGTATTTAGTTTGTGTCGTCTCAACACATACCTCAGTTTGTTCTTGAACTTACTGAGGTATGTTATATCTCTTACTCACTGTTCTATCTCATACTGATGTAACCTAGCATGCGCTCCCACTAGGTAGATATCTTCAATGATAGTTTGTTCTTGAACTTACTGAGCATGCGCTCCTGCTAGTTATTCTAGCAATCATTGGTTACTCCACTTGCTGCATCGCATGCATGGGAAAACATCTGAAAAGAAATAGTTGCTTACATTCTTGTCCCTTCACTGCTTTGTAGCTGCACATCGATCATCTGTAGGAATTGAATGTTGCTCAGGTTTCAAAGTAGATCACATGACTCCAGTTGGACCGGGTTTGAAGTAACCGAAGAATTTTTAGCTAAGCAATGCTCGGACTTGAGTCTCGACCGATCACTTGAAGTCAGCTTCAACAAATTCTCCGTTGACAATGTAAATCATCGTGCAGTGTCGGACTGCAGTCTATACTCTATGACTTATCGCTGCCTGTGTCCGTTGTCACATGCCATCCTCGAGGCTCACACGAAAACTAAACCTCCTCAGTGCTCGGGTTCTAAGCATACCCGCTACACCCTGCAAATATTGACCCCTATATCCGCATGTGCCAACGCGCATCCGCGTACCTTACCAGCACGTCCTGCCGCTCTCTATCACGCTCCTTTTTTTTTTTATCCATTTTTTGTCCATTGGGGTAGTGTACCCTATGTCGGACAATGCTATACTAGTCTAAAGGGCCCCTGCCCCTACTACATCCCTGGAATCACGAATGCCCCAGCGTGGGGTTGATCCCGCTGGTCCGCCGTTCCCGCCGGCCACGCTCCTTTACAAGCCCTAGCACGTCCATATTTTCCATTTTGGCGGACAAGTACTCCTTGCCGCCCTTCGCTTCCCTCCGTAAAGTTCTGTGCACCTCACACATCCTTCCATGTCTCCTTCCATTCATATCTACCCGCTATAAGAAAAGGAACAAAAAGTTAGGTAGAGTTTCAAGGAGTATGTTTTTGGGAGACACGGTATCTTCGACCCGAATGTGGTCCCTCATACAAGACTACCAGAAATCGGAAAAGACATTGTGCAAGGCGCAAGGATCTTTTGCATGCAGTCTTGTATTGGGACCATTTTGTTCGGTTGTTTGCGCTTACTTTTCATTGCTGCTCGTGTGGGCGTTTTACAGGTTTTACTTGGCGTATTAAATTCGTTGACCACCGCATGCTGGCTGTGGTGGGAGGCCGTTATATGTCAACTCAAATTAAATAAGTGTGGTGAGCTATGTTTTTCCGCCCACTTACTGTCCTTTTACCTCGAAATAATATCCTCATGCGTTCATGACCTATTATTACTCTAGATCTCCGTTCTCGCTGTGCTCGCCATGACCTGCCGCCTGTTGCTCTCACGACCTATTTATCAATTTCCCGTTCATCTATTGTTCAAGAGGCCGAACTGACATGGCATTTGGAATTGCAATGACCCTAGGAGGCTCGGTTCTTGCCCTCATATTCAATATCATATCTCTGTAATTCGCTCGCCACTTCGACACAAGAATTCTAGATGCCTATTAGCCCAGGTGGCAAGTCACGACGCCTCCATGATTGGACGCACCGATACATTTTAGCTTGGTGCAGTGAGATGTCCGAGTCAGCGCCATTGGCCTTCATGGCCACCAGGCAATCGGCCCCGGATGCTATCCATCAAGCTCGCACTTGAATGTGTGCGGCCAGCACAGACATATTTATAATTTACTTACACATTGTTCTTGGTAGTGGTCTTTTACTAGTTACTTGGCACCCTAGGGCACCCTTCCATCCTGCATACACTACATCTCGTTGCATTGCCATGATAATTCCAGCTGCACAGCATTGATGCTAGGTGCCTGTGCCAGCTATCAATCCAGAATCTGAACAAAGTACGAATCCGTAAGGTGAAAAGACAAAACTGTAACAATGGGACAATGTGCGGCGCGCCATAAAACAAAGGTAACAAAAGTAGCAAGTTCGTGTATGAATGACATTGGTAGTAGGAAGGAAGATGGCACATTTGGTCGCGATTGTTCTATCACGAACGGTCCATCGTGCAAAGCTTGCCTGCTTCACTTCCAACACAGCAACCGAACAGCCACTACCAACTGAGGCCTACTACTGCCAGTGAGACCCGAACCAGTCCACGGGCATCCCGTGGCAAGCCAAATTAACGAACTTCTGTCGAAGACGCCCAAACGCAATTGCCGGAGTGGCGGCAGTGCAACCCACAGCTTTCCACAATGGCAGATTCTCCAGCGCCATCTTCCACAATGGACACCCTTTCACGTCACAAGTCCTTCTTGTTAGCCAGTGCCGTTCTCTTGCTTGCTTCCATTTTCACCCCTCAAACGGACCATCCTCCGACAGACGACGTAGTTCCTGTGGAGTCGCATATAAATCCAGAGGGAACGGTACGTCGTTTTTATAGTTCGCAGGACCTTTCACACCCTTATCACCCCCCTGCATCACCAATCGATTCAGAAGCTTATCGTCTCCATTAGTTACCTGCTACGACGTCCCATTCAATGAATCCTTCTTCCGGACAGTCAAGTGCAGATTCCGAGGCGATAAACGTGGACGCAGGCACAATTCCGCATGACACAAGGCTCGACCCCAAGTGCGCTCCAAACCTAATATCCGTGTTACTCTCTCACTTAAAAATACACTCAGTTGTATATTCTGCAAAATCGTTACCGGGGAAGCACCGAGTTTCAAGGTGTATGAAACGAAATACAGGTATGCCGCCCCGTCACACTATCACCGTTCAATCACCAATACCACACTTTAAAAGTCTCGCTTTTCTCGCGAAGCCTCCTGTTTCTCATGGGCATACTCTTATCATACCCAAATGTGTGTACCCATTCAATCTAGGCAAATTTGCGCTAAACAGTCGGGTTAGACCACTCCCGGACATTAACGGATCCTGGAATTCCGGATGAGTTCCTCGCGGACGTTGGTCCTATAATGAAGAAGATAGCAGTGATGAACGGCGAAGATTCATACAATATCATCCAGGTACGCCCCTCCTCACCCGCAGGAGCTCCTACTCTCTCCGTTTGTACCCTAAGTTAACATGACAATCAGAACAACGGCAGGACAGCCGGGCAAAGCGTCGACCATGTACATTTCCACGTTGTGACGAAGCCAATAGGCCAAGCTTCTCAGGGACTCGTCCTAACACCTGAGAGTTGGCCTTCGTACCCTATGACCGATGACGAATACGCTCGCGACGCAGCTCAGATGAAGCAGATCGGTAAGAGTCATGGATACCCGGGCGTTTCAGATTAGAGTTTGGGTACATGCGGGGTGAGAGGTATGGTGTGCAGTTTCGGCAATTGTATCATGGCCAACGCTGAACTTGCATCATTCGATAGGATGGAGATGTGCGGAAGTAACTTATTGAGGTTGTCGAGTTTATTGTCGTGCGAGGGGTATTATGGTAATCTGGTATGATATTTCCTTGGCTGTCTGCAGATATCCGTCGCAGTATACAATGAACCTATGCAGCCAATACCCATGTATTCTTAGTTTTCATTTTGAATCAGTCACTTTTTCTTGTAATACACAATACCTAACACCCCCTCATGGGTACGTGGAGATGACGTGAACTACATTGTGAAGTACTTCGAGACGGGTTTGTACGGTGCCAGATCAGTTCAAATATTATACACACATGCTGAACACACACAGGTCTTGTATTGCAGAAAATTCAGTAATCTTTAAGTCTACTATGTTGTTCTAGCTAAGGCGTCTTGAATCATTAGGCCGCTGCAGCCCTGGCAAATATCTCACTAGACTACTCGCCAACCAAGCCATCAGATTCGTACACACATGTCTTGTATTGTAGAAAATTGAGTACTACCGATGAACAAAAGCAAAACCGGAGTGCATACCCTCATCGCGGCTAGGGATCGTCACGGGTAAACCCGCGGGTGTACCCACGAGTGTGCACGACCGACGAGACGGGGAGAACGAGACCGACGAGACAGGAAGAGCGAGACTAACGAGACGGGAAGAATGAGACTGGACGGGGAGGACGAGACCGACGAGACGGGGAGGGCGAGACCGACGAGACGGGGAGAACGAGACTGACGAGACGGGGAGAACAAGACCGATGAGACAGGGAGAACAAGACCGACGAGACGAGAAGGACAAGGTAGTTAGCAGTATGAAACACACAGTACACATACCTTAGAGAGCAGGAAACAGATAGGATAAGACTGGAGTGGCGGATAGCGGACTGCTGCGCAGATGACAACGAGTGACGAAAGCATGACTGCAACTTGGAAAAGAGTTAGAATTAGTAGGTTTGATACAGTTGGTGCAGAAACGGTATTTGAACAAACATCGAAATAATTACTATATATGGAAGCGACAGGTATGCAGCGGGTCGTGGGTCTCAAAATCCAGACCCATACCCATACCCGTGATGATCCCTAACTGCATGTTTCATTGATTGGCGGCAATTGTGGTGGAACTCAATGGCCTGTTTCCTCCTTGACGGTCGCAATCCTCAAAAGTTCTATGAAGCTATTGAGCGCTTCCAGGAGCTTGAGTCTGAAATTGGAAGGGTCAATCCAGAGTGCTGGAAAATGATGCTTCAGACGGTGAAGAAAGGAACAACGTTCCATCTTGCTTCTGATCTCGTCGAGGAGACAGCTCAGCAGTTGTCGGCAGCTCTGATCACGGAGCCTGGCCCAATGCTGACACACGCAGAGTTGGATACCTTGAGCTTGCCAAGCCATGAAGAAATTTTGTAAGGTATCCTCATCATCTGATGGCTTGGTCGGCGAGTCTGGTGAAGTATTTGCCAGGGCTGCTAGCGGCCTAATGATTCATCAAGACACCTTAGCTAGAACAACACAGTAGACCTAAAGATTACTGATTTTTCTACAATATAAGACCTGTGTGTGTGTGTGTGTTCAGCATGTGTGTGTTCAGCATGTGTGTGTTCAGCATATCTGTGTGTGTCGTATGTGTGTGTGAGAGAGAGAGTTTCGTGTGTGTATAATATTTGAACTGATCCAGCACCATAGTTTTGCCTTCCTCCATGGTTACTACGAAAAGGCCAGATTGGTCAGAATGCATTTACTGATACAGAAAAAAACATTCTACATAGATAGTAGAACGTGAACAGTCAATGACTCAAACATCTGTCGTTCTCACGGACATCGTCGGCGATACCACCTCTCCTCCCGTCCACGTTCTGTGATGCCCCATCCCTACACCATCAATATGATACTGCTCGCCGACCAGCTCTTTAACAGCAACCATCAAACGATCGAGTCGAGTGATAATTCCGAAAGTGGTGGAAACGCCAACGCAGAATGTCCTGAAATAAAGTATGACAACCTCTCGAATAAAAAAGAGATGAGACTTACAGGTACTGCAAATTCTCCAACGTTTCCACAGTGAGCATCCGCGGTAATCCATAATTGTCCTCTGACTCCTCGTGCACTACGTTCAAGCCATGATGCCTGACCATGAACCTGTCAAGTAATGGGCATGGGGTAATTTGAGGTAAAGGAGAGCCTGTGCGCAGTGCATTGGAGATGAGACCTAGGAATGGACATAAGGTTACCGCGGATAAAAGTGATCAGGAAGCATACTGATAACAGCGAGTACATCGCCTTGAAAATCCGAATCAAGCATCCGTGTCCGGCGGAGGAATGCATGAGCCCAAGCGGGTTCTAGATCATGTACTGTGGACATCAAATGACACAGTTGATACGCAATTTGCCTATTTTTGATTTAAAACACAAGATCGTCGAAAGATATAGACACTCACATTTGAATCTCCAATATCTTGTGATACCTCTCAGCAGGCCATTTTCCCCGCAGCGAAAACTAGCGAACCAACGTATGTAAGGGTCTATATCTGGAATGTTGGTATTCACCTCATATATGACGTTCTCCTTCATCACGAGTGATCGTTTGAGTTTGCTACGGATGGCTAATAAGCTCTGAACTATGTTGATGTTGTCTTTATCTACGTGTGAGTTCGCGTAAGACACAACCGAACAGTAGATCGATCCAAGTTCAGCCGATGTTGTAGCCAGCGTTCGCCGCTGATACGAACGAATAGTTCTTGACGGAGGGAAGAGGGAGAAAATACTGACATCGGGATCAATGACTGTTAAATGTGCAAAGGAAAATTCCTCACCCCGCAGCTAAGACACCAACGCTGACCAGTACGAAACGGCGCTTTTTTACATGTTAGCCTAGGTATCGAAAAAAGCATACAAAGACTTACCCAAGCCACATCGATACCCCATCCTGGCGACGAAGGGACAGTCAAATGAGTGTCTTCGTATGAATATCCGATGACCTATGCCAAACCATTAATTTCATTCACTTGGAGATGCCAACTTCCATACCAATGCCGCTGTGACCCATATAATCAAATTCGTCATGGGCGGGATAGGCCAATACAATCGAGCGAAGAAAAATGACGGGTAGCAAACCGCACACACAGCTGCCAGTCCATAAGGGCTGCCTCGACCACTCCCTGTGGAAATATACCTGGGCAACAATGAAGAATCCTGAAAGATCGTTCAAGTCTGTGACTTACCACATGACTGTACCAAGCAAGCCGCCAGTGAAGGTACTTATTAACCTAGCCACTAGACCAAACGTTGTGTCTCCACGAAAACGTGCTAAGGTAAGCTGACCCATGAAACTTTGAGAGTGTCAATCATCCTAGCTTACAGGGCAGGAAAGGAGTGACTTACACCGCCCAAACAAACTTGTTTGCTTCAAGAATTATCAGTCTAAGATCAAAGGCATACATGCTCTGCACACTTACCGTATGCAAACTGGGCCGATGTCTTGAGGAAAGATGGGATAGAAAGGATCACTGAGCATACAATCAGCAAATCAGACGAAACAGGAATGATGGCCGACCTGTCAACGCTCCCGCTTTCAAGGCGAAGAGCACGTTTCCACCTCCGATGCCGATGGCGGCGCGGTAAATCCAGTTCATGGCTATTTCAAGTGCATTTCTTGGGGGAAGTGCATCGGGATCGCGTTTCACTGCCTTTCCGAGGTCCGTCATCCAGGCAGGGTTCATACCTGGGATTATTTCTATACCGGAATGTTAGCAACTGTGGCCACGAGAACGCTGCAGCAATATACCAGGATCCTCGTCGTCGTCCCGTTCGATATTCCCAGACGGTTCCCATGTTGTCCAGGTGAACAACTTTGGCAAGGAAGGAAGCCATAATCTGGGCTTCTTTCTTTCCGTTTCGAGTCGAATGATTTCCTTGAGCTGCGGGTGATTTAATATTCATCATCAACCTGATGTCGAAGAATCAACGTACCATGTCTTGTACTACTACAGCAAAATGTAAGAGATGGTACTGGTACACATAACAATGGAATAGAAACCGGTGGGGAGGAACTTCATCGTCACTAGATGTATCATAGCTGTGGTCGAACATTGGGCGATATGGGTCCAAAACAGTCAACCTGTCTCGACCACTCAGCAACAAATGGCACAAGAACACATAAATCATGTACCTCTTCTTGGTTCTGAATTCATCTAGCTCCCTCGTTAACTTTTCAAGCAAATCCTCGTACTTCCGGACTTCTTTCTCGTGGATCTGCGCCTTGTCTTCATGATGGCCCCTCAAAAAGTCGAAGTTGAACTTCCCAGCATTACCTATCCAGGCTCCAGATATTCCAAGCACTTCCTCGCACACACTTAGGAGATCCTGGCAGCTGTTGCTAAGTAGCTCCGTTGCTCGAGCAGTAAAGAAAACTGAATCCGGATGCGATAAATGGATCGCCTCCAAGTTCAGATATTTTTGCGATTCAAATACACCTACTGCTGTTTCCGAGCGCTTCGGAGCCCGAGACAATGCCAAGTGCAGCAAGGAGCTGTGCAAGTGTGTGTGGTGGGCGTGGTGCGAGTGCGAGTGCGAGTGCTGATGCGGACGGTACGAATGGAGGGGTGAGGTGGAGCTCGCGGGATGTGACCGTACGCGGGAAGATAGCGCCCGCTGGTGGCGGGATGGTTTGCGATCCCTGAGTTCGTGATCAGCTGAGGGTGCGTGCTTCTCTTCTGTCGTCATGGAGGACCGCCGATCAGGCCGAGGTGATGGCGGTCTGGAACGTACAGGTGTTGCGGGGCGGGAGGCGACAGGAGTGACAGGGAATCGCTCTCGCGTCGGATCGATGAGTGTATAGTATACACCCATGCCATGCACTCGCACCATAAGCTTCCGCATGATCGTGTGCAATTCGTTGTAATCAGTAGGCGCGAAGCGTGCGTAGACGATATCAACCCTTAGTAGTCGGGCAGCAACTGCGAGCATAGGCAATGCATTCTCAGCTTTGTTTGTTGCATCTGTAATCTGTGTGTGGGAGAACGCAGATGAGGTGACATCTTCGAGGAGATGAGACCTATGCAATGAGATGGCCGTTGCAAGGGGCGCGAGGACCCCCTGCAAGCGCGTCACGAATAGAGTAGACACAGATTGCGGAAACACAAGAATCGACATGGCGAGGGAGATCGCAGAGTGAAAGACCAGGGGAAGCATGATTGTCTGACCGATCTGAAGACTGGTGAGTGTACGTTTGCCGGGACGGAAAACTTGTTACCTTGTAATATGGATAAGGAAAAAGAACCGCGGAGGTTAAGGAAATGTCTGTAATCGATAAGCTTCAAGAAGGAAAGTGTATATGAGTGAGGCGCACCGACACATATACATCCAAACACAGAGGCGGGGAGGAAAGGTCCGGGGCCTAGTCTAGCCTTGATGTACAAGAAGAAAAAACTTCCGATGAAAAGGAAAACGCCCATGATAACAGTAGGCTTTGGCGCACGCGTTAATATATAGACTCCATTTCAAAAGGAATTTCCTTACCCATGCTTCGATGTACTCTCCTGTGATGATAGTGAGTATACTAGCGTCGGGTACGGTTTGTGTGCGGGCTAAGCTAGCAAACATAAGGCCCAAGCAGACCCAGCTAAAAGGGACCATCATCATTATCACCAAAGAACGAAGAGAAAGGAGTTGTACATACGCCCAACCCAATGCCACAAAGATGAGCATGAAAATTTCGCGTTCCAGAACTGCCATGAAAGGATCGCTAGGCGGTGATAAAAATGAAGCTAGATAGAGTCAATGGCTATGGCACGATTAACACATATGAGCGCTACTCACCTATTATGATGAGGAAGGCTGCCTTCAAATCATGCGAACATTAAACCAGCAATACAAAGATCACAACGCAACATACCTGCCCCAGTAGATTCTCTGTTCGGGGGATAATAAACACCACTACAGCGATCCAGGCAGTAAGGGCGCTTCGAATGACGGGTTTCCATTTGGACCAAGTAGAGTTAGCTGGTATCCATTGCAAGCTTTGTGGTAGCTTGATCTTCTGCCTTACTGGCTGTTTCTCGTCTGTGTGATCAGAAGACTCGGATACATCAGTATTCTTCTCTATCTCGCTCGCCGCTCGTTCATCTTGGTCCCAATTTGACCGTCCTTGTGAGGGCAGACGCTGACTCCTTTCTGCTTCTATGATCGAGTTTGATTTATTGAAGGTTCCAGTTGGATCTGTCTGTATGCGAACTTGAGGGCGGGAAGTTGTCATGCTGGCAAGATATTGGTTTCTGTAACTTGGTCTGTAAGCTTTTGAAGGTCCATAAATGACATGTGAAAGAATATTCGACTAGAGTCGAGCTTAAGGTACGACTAGCACCATTTCAAATTTCGTATCACAACGGGCAATCTGATTCAGTCTACCAGTTTGACGTCACAGCTTTTTTTGGAACATGAGCACCGCCGCAATTGCCC